CCCTGGCCAAAATGTTCTGTCTGATAATATCAAACTCAGGGTTGAGTCCAGTGAGAAACTCAAACACCCTATTTCTCTCCACTAGCTTTCTATACATTTCAGCATCCTTTTTACTCTCCCATACCACTATTTCCATAACATCAATTTCCTGCCATAGGGACTTTAGTATAGAGTAGTAGATTGCCACACTCTTCTCCCCCTGTCTCAGGTTCTTCACATCACTTTTTAATTTGTATGCTCTAGCTACATTCAGTTTCTGTGAATAGGTCTCAGTTACACTGTCCCATATCTCCTTACCCGAATACATCTAGAGATAGTGCTGGCTTATATGAGGTTGCATAGAGTTGACTAACCATCCTATAACAGTATAGTTCTCTTGCATTCATCTTTCAAATTCAGGGTTTGTCTCTTCGGGTTTCACTTTGCTACCTGTGAGATACCCGAGTTTTCCTCTACTACAAACATAGATTTTTATAGACTGTGCCCAAGCGGAATCTACTGGAGCAGGTACCCATGTAGCTTAATTGTGGTAACACCCATCAAAACGGAATCTACTGGAGCAGGTCCAGAAGTTGGCACCTGCTTGAACTCACTTCCGTATGTCTCCATTAATCAAACGAAAACCAAAGAACAAAAAATTTTGACTATGTAAATTTACTTGAAGTCAAAACAGAACTTGGGTGCTTGAAAAACTAGGGTTTTGCTCCGTCCAGCAGATGGGCAGAAGAGAGAAGACACTGTCGCACCACTAGAGTAACCCAAACTCTTCCAAACCTGAACCGCCCTCCTTTAGTAGTCACAAGACACCTTCCAAGCACAGAGCGCCACACCCAAGCTTCACCTTTCCTGGTAACTTGAAAATCTCCAATCGGCTAGGGTTTTGGGCAGCAACAAAACAACATCACTTCTTGGCAAAATCTAGCCAGAACTAAACTCTCCAAACCCTTCTACCAACTAGGCAAGTGATTCTCTATACTATAGAGAACCTATCTSTCCATACACTCTCTTGATTTTAGAGTGTATAGGAACGAAGGAAAAAGAAGAAAGAGGAACTGAACCTGCTCTGATACCAAGATGTAAATCAGTTCTCTAATATCAAGATTAAATTTAGTGATTAGCAGAATAGAATAGATCTGAATAACTGTATAAGAGAGGAAGATGGCGAAGAGAAGAAGAAGTCGATTTAATCACCCTTCTCCTCTAACCCTATATTTTATTAATCTCTAAAAAATTGATGATGACAAGTATACCCTTATGTGGGCGGCCAGCTTGGTAGTTACATAAAGAAAGTAAAATAAGAACAAATAACATGCCCATTAAGTGAGGCCCATCAACATAAAATAAAAGATAAAATAAAGGATATCACATGAGAGGTTGTTAGGGCCCATTCGGCCCAGTCTCTTTACACACTATATATCTCTACTTAGTTAACTGTATTTTAACGTATACTTTTTACTCAGTGTTTTAAAAGGTGCACCTAGGCGCATTTTAATGTAGGTGCTTGCCTCTGTGCCAAGTTGTGTGCCTGAAGCCAGGTGCCATGCGGCTAGGAGAGTGCCTTAGTGATCTGTATAAATACTGTATCATTTTTTCTTTTACTTTATATATATATATATATATATATATATAGAGAGAGAGAGAGAGAGAGAGAGAGAGTGAGAGAGAGAGAGAGAGAGAGTTGGGAAAACCAGTCAACTTTGTTAGAGTTCAAGCTTCAAGGGGAAAGTCCATTCATTTGTTAAGGTATTTTTTTCTTCCTCTTTTTTTCTTCCTTTCTTTCCTTCATTGCTTTCTTCCTTCCTTCCTTCTTTCATCCTTTCAGTCTTCTTTTCTTTCCCCTTTGTTTTCACTCCAAAACAGGGGATCCCCCCCACTGTTACCTTTTGTTTTCTCTCCTAAAAATTTTCTTCCAAAACAGGGGCTAAACGCCATCCCAACCATTGGTAGACCTTCCATGAATACAAGTAATCACATTATGCCATAAATTTCCAAAGCCATATTCCAAGTAGGACAAAAGTTCTTAAACCATATCCCAATGTAACTATATGACATCTCATGTCCTCCCCAAGCTCCTGAAGAAAATCCCTCGTTATTTTCTCCAACCTTTTAGCAATCACAATAGGAACCTTGAAAATAGACATGTAATAAATTGAGAGGGTTTTTGGTGTGTATTTGATGAGTGTGAGTCCACCACTTAAAGAGAGATAAGGTCGGAAAAAGAAGCAATCATAGGTTTACCTCTTGAGTGGAGATCAAGACATTTAATAGGCCAATCCAGTGGGGAATAATCTAGCTTCAAAGCAATTCTTTTCATCTTATCCCTTTCCAAATGTACACTTGCTATTGATGGATTCACTAACTAGCTGGTTGATCTCGGATGCCATTGCCTATGATGTCTAAGGATTAACTAGGTCAAACCATAGTCATTTTTAAAACTTTATCTATTTGTACACATCTCTAAAATGACCTTACCCAATGTTGGTCCTGGCTATTTGGGATTTTGGGCTGGGTAAATTGGATATGGTTCCAATCGTTGGCATTTTCTCCAGAAAGTGTCCTCCATTAGCCTTGAACCTATGTTCTCACACTTGCCAGCCCAAGATTTTATTGTTACACCAAGCAATGGCCCATTGTTTGTATTCCTCTATTTTTCGTAATAATATCATTTATGGGTGATCGTTTATAAGTAGGATTGGACATAATATAAAAGAAGACTGAAGTTCTTTTAGTTCTCATCCCATCAATTGTGTGCTACTATAGTACTATAGTTGGTCATAGAGGTGCTCATGAAAAAATGGGATATTGAATGGATTGGTATATATGTATGTATATATATATATATAATTCTAGATGATGATCATGGTAGTAATAATGTATCTAAAAAATATCTATAAATGTGTATTTTTTTATTATTAATTAGATGCATATTGCAAAATCCAAATCTCATTATATAAACACCTTATCTAAATATGTAAAACCGTATCCAACTATGAAGTTTTATGTGTCATTGATAGGCCTACTGCATGGCTAGATTCTTCTTCTTGTAAGGTTTTATCTTTTTGGAATATCTTTTTTTTGTTAATTTGTAAAAGAAATGTAAGATTTAAATGAAGGCAATTGAAAGAGGTGAAAAGTAGTAGTTCAATTTACAATTTAAACCTTACAATTAATTAGAGTCTAAATTCAAAAATGAGTATTTTAGTAAAAAAAAGTTCCACAATCTTATTCATATTTTTAATTGTAGTGTAAATATAAAATTATAGATGGGTTAAATTTTTTCTATAATCTTTTTGTATTTCTATAATGTGATAGTTATATAATATTATTCTTGTTCCTACATGTTTTTTTCAACATTTATGTATTTTTTTCTGTTTTGTACTTTTATATTTTATTTATTTATTATTTGTTTATGACATTAAATGCTAACACATTTGACCCAAAAGTTAAACTATTGATCTTTGTCAAACAGTAAAATAATTTCATTTTTGGTCAGTTCTAAATTATGTATTTCATTTTCATTATCAATAAAAATAGTTCTTGTTTATTACACATTTTTTTTTTAATTTGATTAATCAAACTATCATAAATGTGTATTTTTTTCACATTTTTGTAAATTTCTATATTTATTTTTATTTTAAAAAATTTATTACCTAACTATGACTTCATAGGTTGATAAATTTGATTCAGATGGTTGAATATTGATATAGATCTAGTTAGTAGCATTTATTAGTTAAAAATTAATTAAATATAGGATTTCGTAAGAGAAAATGAGAGTTAATACCTTTAAGTATGGGACTTAATGAGAGGAGATTAAATGAGATGGAAAGTGACAATTGATGTTACATTTTCAACCCTTACAATTAGAGATGTAATAAATAGACAAATATGGGCATTTTAATAGCCATCAAAAGTTGGCATTAAAACTGTAATAAAATGATGTTTATACCCTTTCTCAAACAAAGAAATAGATGGTAATTTTAGTCCAAAAATACTTCCTTTTTGCATCCACACTTGTATATATATTATTGAGTTTATATGTAAATATATATGAAACTTCCGGTGTTCATATCTTTGCATTCAGTTATATGAAGGTGCCTTGCGCCACTAGTTTTGCCAAAAACAACACCCTTTTTTGACCTCAAAATCCCAATTTTTAGCATTTTTATAAACAAAATGGTTGGTTGGTTCAGTTTGGTTTCAATTTGGCACTTTGCAAAATCTGAAGGTAACAGTTCAGTTTCAATTAGTCATGGTTGTATTCTTTCTCCTAGGCCAATCCTGGCCTGGACCTGCTTCAAGTCTTCACATAATGTGGGCAGGCCCATGCCAAGCAACTCCTTGGTCAAGCTAGCACGACACAATATAGAATTTGAATTTTTAAAGCAATATTATTAATTCATATGGTTATGGGTGGATGCCTGGCTGTGGGGCCCAGGCAGGCCTCAATGCCGTTAATACCCTGTAAAAACCTGGCTTGGGCTCTGCTTTGCCCAGCTCATGGTTTCTCTCTATTTCTATTGCCTTGATGGTATCTTATTATCCTTATTTAGGGAAAATTTTCAGTTAAGAATAATACTTAACTTCTTGATGCTATGAGAATATTTCCTTTGTTTTTAAGAAAATATTTTGATTAAAGCTGGTCTGTAAATAATAGTTAATTTAATTTAACTAAACTGTGCCAAAAGCTTTAGGTGCACATATTTTGTCTGGGGGACTCTTTGAACCAAGTTATTGTCTTTTTTCTTTTCACTTTCTCATTTCATTAATCACCTTTTCGTCCTATTCACTTTGTTGTTCTTGAGTTCCTGTAGTTTTCATTAGGTGTGTGAGTGCCCCGTTTTAATCATATAGAAAGTTGACTTTGAAAGGCTTGCATAATGTATTCTTTGTGAATGGGTATGTTGTCTGTGCGTTTTGTATATGCAATCCTTCCTTTTTTTGTTAGCATTCATCAGAGTTCTGAGTTTAGTGTGTCATCTAGTTTTCTTGTTTGAATCCAGGCTTGTTACTGGTGATGAAATACAGGGGGACCTAAATGAGATAAAGATGCAAGAGGTTGGTGATGATTTATCTTTATTTTCTGATATTCCTCAAAGCTTCATTGATATTCCAGAGAGACATTTCCCCCTGGTTATTTCTTTGAGGAAATTCTTGTTAATGCTAGATGGTAGCATGCCGGCATCATATTTTGATAGATTTCATGATATAAAGGAGATATCTGATGATAAACGATCTTATTTGTCCCATGCATCACAACAGCTTATCAGAAGTAAGGAGGTTGATTTTGAACGCTTTTATACTTTATACTGGCCCAGTTTCAACATGAAGTTTACCACGAAACTGGATCCTGCTTTGGTGTTTACTCAAATTATTTCTTATATAAAGGGTGGACGTGGACTGGGTAAAACCTATCATCATGAAAAAATGGATGAAAATGATTACATCATGTTGTCTGAAATGCGAAGTTCTACTTTGTCCAAAGATGAAAGAGAGATGATATATAAGATTTTCCTTGATTATGAGAAAAGGAAACAGATGAATGGTGATTATGACATCTCTGATTTGGTGATTGACCTTCACTGTCGATTCAGAGTTGATGGGTATAAGGGTGCTATGGTGGACTTTGTTTATGTTGATGAGGTCCAGGATTTTACCTTGAATCAGATTTCTCTACTAAAATATATCTGTGCAAACGTCCAGGATGGATATCTTTTCTGTGGTGACACAGCACAAACCCTCATGAAGGGTGTCAGCTTTAGGTTTCAGGAAATCAGGTCCATGTTTTACAGAGAGTTTCTTGGTGAGTCTGGTAAGTTGTCTGATCTCTTTCAGTTGACCCAAAATTTTTGTACACATGCTGGAATCTTGAATTTGGGACAGAGTATTCTGGAGTTGTTGTACCATTTCTTTCCATTATGCATTGATCGTTTGATTGTGGAACGAAGCCCCATTTATGGAGAGACCCCTGCAATTATTGAATCAGCAAATGAAGATATCCTAGGGACTATGTTTGAGACTGGAGGAATCGGTAGCAATTGCCTACTTACATTTGGAGCAGAACAGGTCATTTTAGTTCGTGATGACTTAACCAAAAGGGAAGTTATTGATCAAATAGGAAACAATGCTGTTGTTTTGACCATTTTTGAGAGCAAGGGCTTGGAGTTTAAGGTGAGCAAAAGACTCCTTATGCATATTTATGCTTATTAATTTGTACATTTCAATGATTCTTTTACCACTTTTTTCCCGCAGGATGTTTTGATATACAATTTTTTCAAGGGGTCTCCTTTGAAACAGCAATGGAGGGTAATTTATGAATTCATGGATGGTCAAGGCTTACTTGATGCTTCTTTGACTAAGTTTCCCTGTTTCAATGAAAATAAGCACATTACATTATGTTCTGAATTAAAGCTATTATATGTTGCAATTACTCGCACAAGAAATAGGCTGTGGATCTTTGAAAGTATGCCAGAATTAGCGAAACCATTGTTTGATTACTGGAAAACGAGGAATCTTGTCCAACAGAGGAAATGGGGTTTATCCTTTATTTCTAGTATGCAAATTCTCTGTAAACCTGAGGAGTGGAAAATTAGAGGTCAGAAGGTATGGTTTGTGTAGATTGAGCCATATGTATTTAATCAAAATTATAAGTTTTATTTTGTTAAACCACTATTTTTTTTTTTTATTTCGCAGTTTTTTAATGAGGGAAACTATCAGGCTGCAATATTGTGTTTTAAACATTCCGGAGATGTTTACCTGGAAAATTGGGCCAAAGCTGCATCTTTTCAAATGGATGGAGATCGTAAATTACATACAGATTTTCAAACAGCTCTTAATTTACTATCAAAGGCTTCTGAGATTTATGAGATGATTGGAAAATTTGAGTCATCAGCCATATGTTTTATGAAGTTAGGCTATTATGAAAAAGCAGGTAGTCTCATGATGCTTGGGTTAGTCTCATTCTGTACCTTTCACTTTTTTTACTATATGACCCTAATGGAAGGTGTCAGCCTTTTCCTTTTAGTTATTCATTTTAATAGTCGATTATACTTTATATAATGTAGCAATAATTTGTAGTTTTGTTTCTTATTATTCTTCTTGGATATGTTGGTTTCGGTAGTTGGAAAAATATGTCCTTTAATAATGCTATGGTTTGTGCATTCTTGTGTGCTATTTTTAGAGAATGGAGTATGTTTGGTACTTTAATTATTAAAGTCAAACACGTTTAACTGCTAACCTATTCAACAGTGATGTCAGAAAACATGATACAATTTTAGCATTTTTAAAAGTAGTTGCTTCTTATGAATGTTGATATGAAGAAGTGTCTTTAGATATTAAATATTTACCTATTTATTTATTTTTTTTATTTTCTCACTGCATATATTTTTTTCTAACAAGTCTGAGAAAAGTATTTTTCTGTCTGTGCTTGAGAAAAGCAAGCATTCATTATGTACTAAGACTGAGTTTGATCCCAAGTAAGTCTACTTTCTATTCCATTTAAGTCTCAACATCCACATGCATTTCCTAGAGAAAGAAGCTTCACTAAAGCACCGAACCAAACCTTGATGATAACCCGATCTGATTCAGCCATCCCCCCATATTCAAGGTTCTTTTTCATTCCAAAGATATAGTTTTAGAATTTCCCACTAAAATCCTAGTTCTCAAAAGCTCATAATTTTGAGAGTTCTCATCACTTTGTGCCAAACCCTCTCAAAATGATTCCAAATTCCAGCCGCTTATTTGTTTCACTTGCATAAACATTCGTCTAAAACAGTTTGAGAAAATCCCATTCCAGTCTAGTGATATTGATTTTTTTCTATACTTTTTCCCTGGCCTCTCAACTCCATCCAGCTWCAGTAGAGACTTCAAGTACTTGTGGGGCATTGAAGTTGCAAGTTGTTAGGTTGCTGAGAAATCACCAAATAAAAGATAAACATATAAAAACCAGTATAAGATCCAACCAYCAAAACAGTCCTTCAGCATCCATCACATCTAAAATTAAGAACCCCCAAAAGCAGCCCTTACATCTTCCATCTCATCAAACATGAAGACCCTAGCTCAACCATGCATCCAGCMGGACCATTCAAACAACCAACCCAACCCCCTCTTCTCCTACAACTTTAGTCAACAAACTTTACCCTTCAAACTGATACTACCACTGTGCTTAACCAGACTTACCTACCCCAACATTCTCCAACTCCATAAAAGCTTTTCTGCCAATATCTTTGCCACACAAAAAGAAAAGTCCCATGATTTTGCTGACTTGTACCACTTCTTCCAATTCTAACTTCTTGTCTACTGTCTACTGATCTTGTTTGATCTAGGATTTAATCATCATTGCTCTTTTGCCCCTGCGAACCTTCCTCCTTGTTGTCCATAAAGCCCTTCTTTCAACCAAGAGAAAACCTTAGTCACATGTACCAGCTACGCTGACTTTGAACCTTTAGATCTTTTAAGAATCAGAACATTTTATTTTGAGCTACTTCCTCTTGCTCCCTTCTCACCTCACTAGTTTTGGCCGTTCTTCTACCCAAATCTCTTCCAAAATTTCATACATTTTGCATGGTGATGATCAAGAGTACTGATGGATCTTGATTCTAAAGGAGTTTGAAGGCATACGTCACATAACTCTTGGACATTTTAGAAAACAATGGAGCTGATATTATTTCCAATTTTGATTTTCATTTTTRGAGAACGCAGGTAAAACATGTACATAGTTTATATATTTRAAACAGCAATAAATCAAGTATGAAAGTGAAGAAGAATAGAGAAAGAGAGTTCAGATGAGAAAAGAATAGMGATGCMGCAAAAWGTTCAWGCTGTCACCTCTTTAAATCTATTTWATCAWGTATWATGCAAYAGASAATGACCATTATATCCCTGGCCTTYCAATAYGTAAAAAGAGATAAGAAACACTGCAGTAAACAGCAATAAAATAAAATWAACATCTATAAAAGCAATATATAAATTTCTAGAAATAAWGGTSAATCAATCWACACTCCATTTCATGTTTTGTCAGTTTTTTGGCACAACAAAGATCAAGAGTACTGATTCAAAAGGTGCTATAAGGCTTCAGTYGTGATCATTTTAGAAGATTATGGGGCTGRTTTCATTTCCAACTAGAGAATGACCACATACYAAGTATGGGGCAACTACWTYTGTGTWTCATTTGGTTTGAAATTTACTATTTAGCTATAAGAATTAAATTAGRAAWTTAATATTGGTCTTATATCTTTGTAATTGACAATCTATTCTGACCTACTTTGTTTGAAACCCACTATTAATTTATGTTGTCTTTAATTTGATTTAAGAGATTAAATGAGGTCTTATTTGTANACTTTACCCTTCAAACTGATACTACCACTGTGCTTAACCAGACTTACCTACCCCAACATTCTCCAACTCCATAAAAGCTTTTCTGCCAATATCTTGGCCACACAAAAAGAAAAGTCCCATGATTTTGCTGACTTGTACCACTTCTTCCAATTCTAACTTCTTGTCTACTGTCTACTGATCTTGTTTGATCAAGGATTTAATCATCATTGCTCTTTTGCCCCTGCGAACCTTCCTCCTTGTTGTCCATAAAGCCCATCTTTCAACCAAGAGAAAACCTTAGTCACATGTACCAGCTACCCTGACTTTGAACCTTTAGTTCTTTTAAGAATCAGAACATTTTATTTTGAGCTACTTCCTCTTGCTCCCTTCTCACCTCACTAGTTTTGGCCGTTCTACCCAAATCTCGTCCAAAATTTCTTACTTTTTGCATGGTGATGATCAAGAGTACTGATGGATCTTGATTCTAAAGGAGTTTGAAGGCATACGTCACATAACTCTTGGACATTTTAGAAAACAATGGAGCTGATATTATTTCCAATTTTGATTTTCATTTTTGGAGAACGCAGGTAAAACATGTACATAGTTTATATATTTGAAACAGCAATAAATCAAGTATGAAAGTGAAGAAGAATAGAGAAAGAGAGTTCAGATGAGAAAAGAATAGCGATGCAGCAAAATGTTCATGCTGTCACCTCTTTAAATCTATTTAATCAAGTATTATGCAATAGAGAATGACCATTATATCCCTGGCCTTTCAATACGTAAAAAGAGATAAGAAACACTGCAGTAAACAGCAATAAAATAAAATAAACATCTATAAAAGCAATATATAAATTTCTAGAAATAAAGGTCAATCAATCAACACTCCATTTCATGTTTTGTCAGTTTTTTGGCACAACAAAGATCAAGAGTACTGATTCAAAAGGTGCTATAAGGCTTCAGTCGTGATCATTTTAGAAGATTATGGGGCTGATTTCATTTCCAACTAGAGAATGACCACATACCAAGTATGGGGCAACTACATCTGTGTATCATTTGGTTTGAAATTTACTATTTAGCTATAAGAATTAAATTAGGAAATTAATATTGGTCTTATATCTTTGTAATTGACAATCTATTCTGACCTACTTTGTTTGAAACCCACTATTAATTTATGTTGTCTTTAATTTGATTTAAGAGATTAAATGAGGTCTTATTTGTATACAGCAACCCACTTTATTTGGTATTTACAATCTAATATTATCTATTTTGAGTTTTTATTTTTAAAAGATAAATTAAGTTATGCTTCCAAAAAAAGTTAAATCAAGTTTGTAATTAAAAAAGTATTTCATCTAAAAGAATGAAACCCATACCATTAAAGGTCTTTATAGTTAATAAATCTTTATTTTATTTGAATTAAGAATGGGACTCACATCATTTTATGAGACCCGCTATTTATCTAGCATATCTGATTTTAATTCCTTTTCTAATTGTAAAGAAATTAAATCAGGTTTGTTTTGTAATTGGCTTATAGCAGACTACATTAAATTTGTAAGTGAATTAAGCTTCTCTAGCCAAAAAAGAGTTATGTCAATTAAACTTCAAATGTTACAAAGCTAATTGGATTTAGTTAATGTTAATTATTTTATATTGTTGAATTAACTTTTGCCCTTCAAATCCATTTTATTGTTATTTATCATTAGCATTTATTATTTTAACAATGTTTATTTAATTATCTTTTACTTTATTAATATTTAATGTTGTTTATTATTTAAACATTTTGTTATTTTTTAATCATCTAAGCATTTAATTGATCATTTTCAAATTTGTAAACCCATTCATTTAATTAATTTTTAATCATTTTATGTTTTTTAATAATTTTCCATTATTTAATGAAATAACGGTTTTTAGATTAATTAATCAATATTCCAATAATTATTTTTTCTTATTTTCTCTCTCCTCTACTTAGTAGGGAACCAAGAGAGCTAGTGGAGTCATATTTAACATATATTAAATGGTAATAAGCATCAATATAATACAACTGGGTCAGATCAAATATTATTAGTGCTGGGTTCGGTGTGTCAGTAGAGTTCTATTTATTTATTTTTTTGACATTCAGTAGAGTTTTATTTCTAATGGTCAGGGTTGGCCCTTATACATGATATGAAATTAGGTCAAAATTGTCCATTTCATTTATCTTCTCTGCCGCATTGTAGATACACCATAGTTGGGTCAAATAGTAGTAAAGCTGGGTTCGGTGTGTAAGAGAAATGTGTGTGTGTGTGTGTGTGAGAGAGAGAGAGAGAGAGAGAGAGATGTCATAAATAAACAGCTAGAAAATATAAAATCAATCTCTCAACAAGGATAACGGCTTCACATTCAAGAATTTATTTTGTCTTGGGAATTTGAGTATTATTTTCTGTTATCATATTATGAATTTTGTATTCATGTTTCTTAGGAGTTTAACAAGTATTTGAATTGTTTGATATTACTTTATCATTTGTATTTTGGACAGCAAGGATTTATCTCGAGAAGTGCCAAGAACCCATGTATGAAGATGCTGGAGATTGTTTTATGTTAGCTAGTTGTTGGTCAGATGCAGCTTTGTGTTATGCTCAAGGACAGTGTCTTTCAAAATGCATGACCTCTTGCCGAAAAGGCTGACTTGTTGAATTGGGATGGGAAATCCTAAAAGGGTGGCCGGGAATGGTGTCAATAGATGTTAAGGTTGACTACTTACAGTGCTGTATTGCAGATTGTTGTAAGTTCACAATTGTTGAATCAGTGGTGAAGTTTGTTGGGAAGTTTCCAGAAGATGGGTATCTCTTGCTGATTGAAACAGAAAACTATATAGATGCCTCCACCATAGAAAGAATGAGAGGAGAAATATTAGGTGAAGCTGATTTGTTGGAAAGAGCAAAACATTATGGAAAATCAACGAAACTGGTTCTTTTTTATGTTGTGACATATATGCTTTGGTCAAGTGAGAGCTTGGGCTGGCCATTGAAGCATTTTGTTGGACTTGATAAACATCTCGAGAAAGCAAAATCTCTTTCTCAAATGGTTTCAAGCACCTTTTATGAGTATGTTTGTTTTGAAGCCGAATTTCTTTTTGACCAGAGCTCTAGTTTTTCAAATAGCATTTTACATTTCAGAAGGGCTCAGAAGTTAAAAAATGTTAGCTCTGAAATTTTTGCTGCTCGTAGCATTCTTGAGGCATTGCTCAAGGAAGAGAAGTTTGAAGTTGACTCAAAAGGTGTCTTTAGAAAACAGATTGGGGTTCTAGAAAGTTCAATTTTCCAGTGTCGTGTTTCTATTCAGGTTTTAATGTTTTTTTGGAACTTTTGGAAGGGAAGAATGTTAAGCATGATTTCTTTCGTCAAATCACTTGGTTCCATCAATAAGAGCCAGTATGAAAGCTACGGTAACTTGTGTATGGAACACTTCGGTGTGATAAAGCTAGATGGTCTAGATATGTTTATTGCTGTTAATGGTGAAGCATCCTGGTTAAAAGGGAAAGATGAGGAAAATTTCTCTCAGTTAGGAAACAAGGTTTATATGAGTGGACTGGTTTTCAAATCCCTTGCTGAACGGGTTTTGAAATCTGAAATATGTTCTATGGCTGTTAGAGTATTTGAAAAACTGAAATGGCTACTTATGTATTCTAGGCCAAAGTTGTCTTTTATTCAGAGAGCTGTTCTTGCCCTCCAGCTCTATGGGATTTCAGTCTTTCTTGGGGGATTTAATGTAGGGGTTGGTGGAAGCTTGGGTTTGTCAGAACAAGACCTACTTTCAGCCTTTTCCCCTCTATACTTTGAAAAATATATGATATCTGATCAAAGTGGAGCCAATCTTCAGGATAAAGATGCTGCTGTGAGGGCTTTGGGGACCATTCTTCATGAAAATCTCAAATACTTCAGAGATGGGTCCAGACCTACAAAGACCGGATGGGCATTACTTTTGGTACTTACATCAAAACAATTGATAGAAGAGCTGACATGGGAAGTACGTCATAACTCAGGACCAAATTCTCCCTGGCGAAAATTTTTTGAGCAGCTTGTTGATTACATGAGGAAGGGATATGAAGATCCTTCTTCGTTGGCAAGTACATTCTTGGATGCAGTGAAGCATGCAGATCCTCAGTGCCAGCTGCTTTTAATTGAATGTCTTCTTTTCTTAGGTTCGTCCTGTCGAATTGGAAGGGTGTGGTTCCTTACATCCAAATTCACTTTGACTGATTCTGTTTTCTCTCAAGAATCTGAAGCTTATTGGTGTGCTCTATCAGCATTGCCTCAATGGTTTGATGCTCAATCCGTTAATTGTTTCTTTGACTTTATCTTGGCGGTTGTTGATGGACTTATGTCCCCTTGTTCTGATCATCGGCATCCGAGATTAAATTGGTATAAGAAATCAGAGTTGAAGTCTTTCCAGTTCCATCAGTTCTTGGTGCTGAGGCTAGTAACGGTAGCTGGTCTCATCTGCCTTAACTCGAAAGAGCATTTTAGCAAAGTCCAGGAGCTGTTAAGCAATTTCTGTGGTCTTCTTTCAGTTTTGCCTCATCGGTTTCTTGTACAACTTTGGGGTGTGAAAAAAGGACGCACAAGGACAACTAAATGTTTTGCTCATGCATTTGCAAAAGCACTGGAAACTGTTGGCAATCAATTGGTGGTTGTACACACTGGTAATTGGAACAATTCATTTATGCATATGAAGCCTTTAATTCGTGAATGCAATCTGTTTCAGCACAGGAAGGGAGGTAATAAAATACCTGTTATGGTTAAGGAGCGCCTTAATTTGGTTAAGTGTAAATATTTTCCAATCTGAAGCAGCTTGTATTCAGAGACTTGCACCAGAACCGTTTGTAAAGAATTAGTGTTTTATCTTGGTCCAGTGGTCTCTATGATTGACTGTGAACCCAAATGTAAATCATTCTCTGCATGATATTTACATGTTTGCTGTTTACATGATGCAAGAATTTAATGAAAATCAAACCCATGTGTACTGCACAATTTTTTTTAAATTTTTCCAGGAGTTGAGCTCTGGATGGATTTGTTAAGCTCAATTTTGAATTTTGATGATGCAACAGGGAACCAAGTGTGTGCAATAGGCTTGGTGGTTCATGATAAATTTGTTCTTACTGTTATTGGCAGAGCTCTTCGTTTTCCCCCGATGTCAGCTCTAGAAACAGAAGCTTTTGCTCTTCAGTTTAGTTTGGAGCTTGATCTTTCTTCTGAGTATGTTGAGGGGGATAATAAGGTCATACAGACTCTGTATTAGAAATGATCCCTCAAAGTGCTTCAAATCTATGGCTCTCATGTCGTTTGATCACTAATTGCAGAGTCTTGTTAGAAATGATCCCTCAAAGCTCAGTGAATTTTGTACCAAGTAGTGCCTATAAGGCTGCTGGCTTCTTAGCTAAGTATTGTTTAAATGTCTACAGGGCCTAGACATTGTCTGTGTGTCCCTCTCCTTTCTTGTCGGTTGTATTGCTTCTGGTTGCTTTTCTTAATGAAATTGCCTTATCAGGCTTTGAAAAAAACAAAAGGTCCTTTCCTGCAAACACCCTGCAGCCCCTACCCAAAATGAAGCAAAAACAATTCACCCACCTATCAAAGGGAATGAAACAAACAGGTCCACAAAGGTTTACAAGGTAACAAAGAAAGAGGATTCTGACTTAGCTAAGAAAACTAATTGCAACTGGTTAATTTGGAAGAGTATGTTGATTTCAGATTTCAGTGGTCAGTCAGCTTGGCAAGCCTGGGAACATAGGTTTGAGTCTGAGGATGGCTAATTTGTGCGAAAAAATGCCAAAGGTTAGGACCGTACCCAGTCTCTCTCCCTGAAGACCACTCGTAACTGGGGCCAACGTTGGGTAATAACCTCAGGGTGAGTCCTAATTCTAGGTGGTGTTGCATATTCCATTACAGTCTATTTCTCATCATTTAGACTGTTACTTTGATCAGGTGTGGATAAGGATCCTATTCTGGGCCCATTATCAGGTGCAAGTTCATCAGCAGCAAATAGGACGTCTTTGGGTTCAATAATTCTGGGTCTTGGCACTTTGGCAGGAAAACAAGTCAAGTTGGGTAGGCAATGGTGGTGGCCCGGCTAACAAGAGGGAGAACGAATGGGAGTTTTGTTTTGCTAGAATTTATTAAATATTCAATGGACCCAAACCCTAACCCAGGCCCAATGTAGTTAAAAATCTTCATGTTGGCATCCTGATTTGCTGCCCTATATGCAACCGGAAAATAGTTGGAGTTGGAGGCATTTGCATATATTTGGGTTTAACCATATAGCCTATGAAGGCACACTTTGAGAAACAGAACTGTGGCTTGTTATTGTAAGGTCTTGAGATATGGGTTGTTAATCATCATATTCAACTAAAACCATATGGATTGGTTACACGAATCCTGTTTTCATTTTGTTCAGCGTCATATCCATCATTAATTTAAGACTTTATCATTTCTTATTAATTCCATCCAAAATGTATGCTATACTTAATATAAAATGTGTGTTTTACATCTACTAATATGTGTGACATTGAATCAAGGACTGAAAATGATCATCCCTAGTTTCAATGTTGCATTAGAATATCCTACTCGAATGGGTCTGCTGGTGACTGTCGATGATGAGAAGGATAACGTACTTGATTATTGATAGTGATAGAGCTCAAGTCTACACCAAATTAAAACACAAAAGGAAATTTGGAATCCAGAAGACATTGTGAATAATGTGGTAAAGCATTTATACACATTCTGTATAGGAGTTGAGTTTAGTGTATATCCATTGTTATGTTATTGAATGGTTAATATTCAGGTACTTCTTAGCTTAATTTTACATCTAATCCAATCCAATTCATTTGCAGCGATAAGTTATGTCTCTATGGTGAATACAACCTGGTTCTATTTTCTTCTCGGCACAAATAGATCTTTGCTCTCACATGTTCTCCAAACTTAAATCATGCCTAATAAAAAGTAATTATTTTTTTATTTCTTTCTTTATTTTAAAGTCTACATTCTACAAAGTGAAATCGAATTAAGTTTGTATCCAATCCAAGACCCCTATAGCCTACCTATATTTGACAAGTTTTTAATATAGTATCGATACTTATCGACCTGTATACATATCGTGCTGATGGCTTACCGATATGCCCCTCCAGGGGTTGTATCGGGTTGCCACCGGTTCAGAGGGTAATCGGGCTTTAAACCGACACCTCTGAACCGGTTTCAAAAAAAATAAATAAAACTAAAAAAAATGTATTGACACAGGTCGATATGCCCTACCAGCGTATCAGCCCGTGTCGATATTTGGAACCTTGATATTTGATTGAATTTCATATTGAGTTAACGAATTTCGGGTTTAAGGATAGGGTTGAGAATTACAAATCTGAATTGATTTTGGGTTAGATTAGGGTTGATGCTCAAGGCAAACCAACTCAGCCCAAACGTCACAAGCCTACTCATCTTTGTATATATATATATATATATATATATATATATGAATACTAGTAGCACCCCGTGCAATGCACGGGCTTTGTTAAATTTAAAGGACTGTTATACATTTTCAAGTGGGCAAAGCCAAATCGGTTCCAAGTTCCAACCCAAACATTATTTCTGGATTATTATTGTTAGATAACCTTATATTAATTTTTCTATTATTGTTTATTATGTTTTTAAATAAAATTTTG